ATCATTTGCCATTAGTTGGAAGTAAACTTTACCTCACTTATATCTAATGAATAGTCTGAAATATGGAATAATTTCTGTAGTAAAGGAAATCAACATTTGAAAGTATCCTGAGAGTGGAGGCCTCATGAATAGGAATAGTGCCTTTATAAAAGAGACCCAAGAGAACTCTCTTGCCCTCTTTACACTGTGGGATGATAAAAAGAAGTCAGCCATCTGCAACCCAGAAGAGAGCCCTCACCTGAACTTAACCAGGATGGCACGCTGGTCTTGGACTTCCAGTCTCCAGAACTGAGAAATAAATTTTCTGTTGTCTTAGACCCCCACCTCATGGTTCTTTCCTGTATCAGTCTGAACAGCCCAAACTAAGACACTGTGTTAGGAAGCATTTCTAAGTAAAGAATTAATGAGATCATTTGATTGGGCTATTAGTTAAATATAGGTAGATGTGTTTTTTTTAAGCAGTATGTAGACAGAAACTGTTTCTTCAGGTGTATTTACATTAGGTGCCTGTCAAATATTATGTACTCAGTAAGTGTCTTTCGTGAAAGAGTAATCAAAGAACAAGTACCAGTAGACCAAAAATATTTTGGAGAAATGATGTTCTAAATTCTGGGACAGAAAAATGTGCAAGACTGGCCTAGCCTCCCAGAAAAAGGCGAGACTGGCCTAGCCTCCAGCCTACATCTTTCTCCCATGCTGGATGCTTCCTGCCCTCAACCACTGGACTCCAAGTTCTTCAGTTTGGGAACTCGGACTGGCTCTCCTTGCTCCTCAACCTGCAGACTGCCTTTTGTGGGACCGTGTGATCATGTAAGTTAATACTTAATAAACTCCCCTTTATATATTTATATATGTGTATATGTGAGTGAAAATGTAAAATATTTATATATATATTTTATATGTATATATATATATATATATATATATATATATATCTTGTTCTATTAGAAATAATATCCTATTAGTTCTGTCCCTCTAGAGAGCCCTAATACATGTGACATTTGACCTAATTCTGGGTAGTTAGGATCAGAATTGTACTGCAGACATTATGCTTGTTAACTATTACTGAAGAACTTTTAGCATTGTCTGAACTGTTATCAAATGCTTTTAGTTTTCCCAAGTGTTTTTTACCTTAAACCTGCTTTATATTTTAGATTCTGAACCCACTTTACATTCTAGATTCTTATTTGATTAGCATAGAATTTTAGTAAAACTTGACCAATAATGGGCCAGTAATGTGGCTTAGCACACTGTAAATATGTATGCATTACAAAATCACATTTGCTCTTATATAGATAATTCCATACACTAGCTTCCATGTCTTCATGACGCATCACCCTCCTGGTTACATCCATGTGTTCGAGCCAGGGACGCTCTCCCAAGCCTTGGTATATGGTTTTTATTGGAGTTTCACTATGTAGCCCATAGGATTGATTAAATCATTGATCATGTAACTGAACTTTATCTTCAGCTTTCCTTCCTTCCCCAGAGGTTGGGTTGGTATTGCATGGCTCAGAGTTCCAAACCGCATGGCTCAAATCCCAAACCTGCGGTCACGTCATTAATCTTTCCATCATGGCCAGCCCCAACTCTAAAACTAACTACATGGTTATCAAGTCATCAGGTTATGCATTTTGACACTCAAAACCTTTGCTATGTGTTTTCTTCCTAATGAAACACTTGGTAAGTTTTCTTAATTATGCATTTGAGCAAAAATATTTAACATTTTCACTTATTCTGCTTTATTGTCCCTATTGAATGTCCCTGTACTTGCCCATTGAACCAGCTGTCTTAACATTTGTAAACAGGTAATGTAGCCTCACTGATATGACTGCTCCATTTTTACTATAACATCATTTATTCATTCATCTTCACTGGGCCAAATGTGAGCCTGGCATTATACTAGATGCTGAGGATACAAAAACAATAAACTATAACCCCCACTCTTGAAGAACTTCCAGTCTAGGGAAGATTTGCTATGATTGCTATATAAAAACACATCACATTAACCCTAAGTTTTCAGAATATTTTCCCATGGCAGTAGTGCTTCTAAAACCTCAATGTACATATGAACCACCTAAGGGTCTAGTTTTAAGAAAAAGGATTTAAATTCAATGGGGTTGGGTGGGGCATGAGATTCTGTTCCAACACACTTCCAAGTCATGCTAATGTTGCTGGTCCATGGACCATACTTGGAGTGTCTTGGGTGTAGCATACAAATTTTCAGAAGTTTTCAATATCAGGATATCTGAAATTATAAGAATAATTTTCATCCAAGTTGTTCCATTTGCTTTTCAAACTTCATATTCTCTGTGGCCTGACCCTAGCAAACCGAACAGCAATCTTATGTTGGAGAGTTGCTGGCATAAGCAGAAAGAGTTTTTTAATCATTGTAGGTGTTTGAAAGATTTAATATTCATGACTTTCTTCATAAATGTTACCTTTTTTAAAATCTTCATGAAAGTAAGATAAACCTGTAATTCTCTCTCAGTCATGGTCTGTTATTTTAATTTCATGGCATGTAGTTAAGATAGTTTTTATGCTATTGTGTAGTGATATTATGAAGAAAATGTTCATGTCAGTGATTTACTGCTGTTTCAGAATGAACCGTGAATTATAGGGGGTTAGAGAAGTAGGTCTTAACACTTAAGGGATTCTTCTGAGTCTTTAATCACGAAAATGTATTTCATTAAATATCTTAATCCTATGATAACCCCCCAAATTTCTAAAATACAATTAATTAGACCCATTTTAATCAGTTTTTACACAATTGATAAGATTTAAATAGATAATATAAGTAAAGATATGTGGATAACTATTCACAATAGAAAATGATAGCAGTAAGAGTTTGGAGTCTGATTATTATAGATCTCATTATAGGGCTCTTCCCCCATTAGTTTTCTCCTAGTACTGGTTACAGTGAAAGAAATGAAAAGCAGATCAGTTAAAATGTTTATTGTGCTTCATTTCTGACTCAACAGTATATAAGCACAGGAATTAACTGGGGCACCTAGGAATTGATTTTTTTCATACATTCCAAAATTCATTGTTACATATCTTAATTGTAATTATTTAGAATATTTTTGTCTATAAACGAAACATTTCATAAATACAGGTAATCATCTTTTCTCTAGTTTCTAACTATAATTTAATTGATGATGTTGGTCTACAGTATCTGTGTTAAGCAACACAGAACCATAACATCTCAGGACTGTTTGGATACTTGCGCACCTATCTTTAAATCAGAGAAGACATTTGAAATGTCTGCTGTTAAGAAGGTCTGATCTAACAAGATGAGGCTGGGGGAATTTACTGTAAGATGCCTACGAATCATAGCCAATTTGAGTCATCCATAGCCAGTTTGAGTCATATAGATATCCATCCCTAAACAACTAGGAGTTATGCTGGATTCAGGAGAAGCGTAGAACCAGAAGAGTTCAGTTCCACTGTTTATACAGGTAATTATTGATTGGGCCTAACTAGGTCCATGGCTAGGGGACCAATAAGAGTGTAAGATTCACAGGCTGATGATCATACACTGAATTAAGAGATGTATTGTTTTAGATGTCCCAGCCGTTTGATAAATTCTGCAAATTAATCTTACTAACATACACTTTATTTGTTCATTTGTTTCTTAGCAGTGTGCCATTCTCATAAAACCGAAGCATGGGTAGCGATTTTTTTTTTTCATAATTCTAAGTGCTTATCTATTAACACAGTTTCTAGGAACATCTAATAGTTTGATTATTTTTTTCTCCTCCACCTCTGGGACTCCTATGCATGTTGGCAGTTCTACTTTCATCTACATACCCCTAAGCTATTCTCTCGTGGTTTCCATCTCTGCTGTTTCTAGCTGCTTCTGAGAGAGCTTCTTGGTCTGATCTTTCAGTGTGCTAATTTGTTCTTCATCTGTTCAACCTGCTGTTTATCCCATTTGTCGTGGTGGTGTTTTTTATATTTCAACTCTTATGTATTCAGACCAAATATTTCTACCTGGATTTCTTAAATGATTTATTGGTTTTGCTTTATGCTACCAGTATTATTCCTAATTGTGTTATCATTACCATGGTTATTCTGTTTCTGATGGTAGATATTTGTCTGTTGTCTTTTTTTTTTTTTTGACAGTAATTACACGCTGTAGCATAGCCATTGGCAGTATCTCTCCAAGCCTTCTCACTGCCTTCTGCACCTCGCTGCCTTTTCTGCTTCTAATCCGTAACTCCAAGGTTAAGACAGCCTCAGTCTCCCTAGAACATCTCACTTTTGGTATTGAAGGTTTTTTTTTTTTTTTTTCCTAGAATTCACATGTCTGTTTGTCTCAATCAAAATGTCTCCCTTCCTCTGTCTCTCTGTCTCTGTCTCCATCTCTGTCTTCTCTCTCTCTCTCTCTCTCTCTCTCTCTCTCTCTCCATCTGTCTCTCTCTCTCTGTCTCTGTCTGTCTCTCACCCTCTCTGCCTTCCTTTCTCCCTGCCACGCCACCCTCCCCCATCTCCTGTCTCCTAGGATTGGTTTTGGAATAAGCCAGCAGCCTATCGTAGCTTACCATCTTGACAGGAGCCAAAGCTAATTAAAAGAAAATTTCTCTCATCTCTTTGTCTTAGTGATTTATATTACTAATGATTCTAAGATTTGCCTTTCCAATACAAATGACCTGGCTGCTATATTGATTCAATCAATTTTAGAAATACTGGTTCATATACCAATTTTAATTGGTAAAATTTAAATTTTGGCAGTAAGATTTGTAATGTATTATTACAAATCTAATTACTAACTTAAATGTAATTTTGAAATATTTTACTAACTTAAATCAGATTTCAAATCTTCTAGGAGAAGACTAAGTAATAGAAATGTAAAACAGAATTCAGTCCTAACAATAACCAGAAATGTATGTTTCATATTATGATCAATTAGGTAAGATTGTTTTTAATACAATTTTTTGTGATCTGAACACTTTACCATAAAGCTTTGATTATTTGAGATGATACCAAGTAGTATACTTTGTAAGATATCCTAATTTTGCTGTTGTCTGATGCATATCATTTGTACAAAATCATGTGAAACAGGCAGGGAAGAAGCAGTGTGTATTTTGAAGACATGGAAACAGACCTCAAGAATATAAATGGTTTACCTAAGATTCACACATAGTAAATGGCCTAACGCACCTAAATCAGTTTATTTGACTCTGATGCCTCACTGATAACCCACCATTCCACAACTCCTGCTCTTTCCACCCACTACAACACCAGGTTAGGACTGACATCCTCACCAGCTGTTTGTGCCCTTTCAGAATCCTGACACTACCTTCCTTCTCAGTCCCACTTAAAGGGAGCAAGATTTTTTCGAAGGAAGGACTTTTGTGGATAATCCTGCTGTCATATCTACTAACCCGCCTAAGCAGATTAGCAGCTTCAACCAGGCTTTTGGAGACTGCACAGACAGAGGTGAAAGAAGAAGGGATTTCTTGCCTGCCATCCCCAGTCAGCCAGATCCACCTCTGCATGAGTGAGATGACAGCCTATTTTATAGGTAGACACTTCAAGTCATCTACCAGCAGGTAATGGGACTCAACCATAGAGATAGGTGTTTAGGGGCAACTGGGAGTGGGGGATAGAATCCAAGGACCAGTCAGGATTTTATGTTGAATTGAAGTGAGGTACTTTGTAAAGGAGCCAAGGCAAATGTAGTCAAGATAGAATATCACTGGAAATACAATGCAAAACAGAAGCATAATCATGGAGAAAAAAATGTGGAGAATGTAGGCTCCTAAGAGAAGAAGCAAAGGGAATCTGACTTGCTTAGCTGTGAACTCCTAGGTCATTTTGTCTCTCCCAGCAAGAGATCCAGTTGGGACTACAGATGGTCCCCAATTTACTGTGGTTTGACTTACGATTTCTTGGCTTTGTGATCAAGATTGTGTGAGTGACACACATTCTATAGAAACTGCACCTCGAGTACCCATGCAACCATTCTACTTTCACTTTCAGCACAGTAGTCAATAAATTACACAGAATATTCAACACTTCATTATAACATAGACTTTGTGATATGTGACTTTGCTGACCATAGACTACTGCAAGTATTGAAGCACATTTATGGCAGGCTGGGCTATGCTATGATGTTCCATAGGTCAAGTGTAGTAACTGCATTTTCAAATTAGGATATTTTCAACTTATGATGGGTTTATGAGGATGTAACCTATCATAAGTCGAGGAACACCTATAAACTTAAAGCTGGAGCAGAGATTACAAATAATTAACAGTGGAAGTTTTTAAAATATGGGATGTAAGTGCCCGATCAGAAATTGTGCTTAAGGATTTTATGTGACTCTCCTGTGTTAGCTGGAAATGTCACCACAGTAAGAAAGAGGAGACTCTAGAATTAGGAGGCAGTACTTCTGAATTATTGTCAGTAACGTGATAAGAGTTAGCATAAATTGCTTGATCTTACTGTACTTCACTCATGACACTGAAAATGGGGTGATTAAAAATGCCTTCTTCATATAATTGAGTTTTCTTCTCTATGATAGTTTTGTTAATAAGTGATATGTAATTTGAAATTATAATATTCAAAACTCAAATTCCACGATCCTAAGCCTACCTAAGCATACAACTTTACTTATGAATAGACATGACCATTCAAGTGATGTGGCTGTAATACCAGAAGGCTTTATTATACCCTTATGAACAGACTTTTCGTGGATGGCCGAGCACTATCATAAGGGGTCCAGCTCTGTTTCTATGTGACATTGATACAGTTCCACTCAATAGTTCCATCTGAACTAACTCTTTCAGAAGGGTTAATAGCAAAAGTCCATGGACCCACTTGACCTCTCCACTTAATTTTGAAAAAGTATGAATTATCCACAAATGTAGCAACTGCTGAGAAAATTGTAAGCTTTCCTTTCCATTTTTTTCCTATGACACCATTGACCAAATATGTATTGAGCAATTTGCAAGTCTCTTTGGAGATATATATATACATATCTCTGTAGATGAGATAGATTATATATCTATCTCACAGCTCCTTCACTCAGTTATCTTGAGTTTACTGAGAAGCAGGGACAGGGTTAAGGCATGTTAATTTCTATAATGTGAATTGTGCATGAAGTGTAATAGGACTATTCTTTAAGCAAGTCCAGGTAAGACGTCATGACAATCTAAATACACACTCAGGCATTGAAACTGGTGAAGATGGAACCAAAAATAGGGATATCTAAGGATAATTGATAGCAGGGGAAAGAGGGAGAGAAGCCATCTTAGACTGACTTTTGCGGTTCTGACTTGGAAAACTGGATGAATGTTACTTGCTGAGATAAGCAATTAAGGAGAAAGACTATATTTGTCGGTGGGGAGAGAGTGGGTTGAAGCATAGTTTTGGACATGATTGAGTTTAAAGTCTTGCTTTGGAACCTCCAGATGAGCAATTTTGAAAGCAATGAGAATATACAGTTTCAGGGGCCTGGGAATCTGCATTTTTGAGTCATTTGTTATGAGTTAAAATAATGAGCATGAGTAAAATTGCCAATGTTGTTGTTTTTTTAAATGAAGAGAGTGTTTACAAAGACTGAGGAACACTGATGTTCCATGGTGAACAGAGCCACAGGGACCTGCACAGGGACTGAAAACAAGAGGAGGGAGGAGGAGCGCGTGATCTCAAGGAGCCAAAACCGGGAGAGACAAGTCAAAAATGGAGTAAGTTGTCAGTGCTGTTTTGGAGATGTAAACGTTCTAAACACGATTAGCAAAACGATGGATTTGTAACAATTAGATTTCTTTACTGACCCTAGATTCTTTATAAGACAAACAGATATTTACCATATTCTAATTTTTTCTTCAATTATAGAATTTTCGAAAAAGTCAAAAATTTATTTTATACTAATCATATGAATTCAAGATATTTAAAAAGAATATAGACTTTCTATACAATAGATGTAATTTGAATTCCAGCTTTATAATTAACCTGGATCAAATTGGTTACCTTCTCATTTTCTTCATCCAGAAAAATGGAATTAGCACACCTTTACAAGATGATTTTGAACATCAAACAAAATAATGCACATAAAAGAACAGCCTATTTTTTATAAACATTGTATTTTAAGCTAGATATCTATTTTAAGAAGTTAGGAAAATATTCAGGAAATGAAGCCCAAAGAAAGCAAAAAGAAGTATATCATAAGAGCAGGAATTAATTAAATAGTAAATAAAAACATACAATAAAAAATTAAGGCCAGGCACAGTGGGTCACCCCTGTAATCTCATCAATTTAAGAGGCCAAGGTGCAAGGAGTGCTTGAGGCCAGAAGTTTGAGACCAGCCTTGGCAACATAATAAGACCCCCATCTCTACAAAAAATCAGAATTAAAAAAAAAATCAGCAGGGCACAGTGGTGTATGCTTGTAGTCCCAGCTACGTGGAATAAGTCTGCGATAAGTTGTGATTGTGCCACTGCACTCCAGACTGGGTGACAGAGCAAGACTCTGTCAGAAAAAAAAAAAAAAAAAAAATTTAAAAAGTTGATTTTATTTTAAGAATTAAAGTTAATAAACTTCTGGCTCATCTGATCATGAAATTAAGAAGATAAAAATGTGCAGTATATCTGAAATGAAAAAAGAGGATATTACTGCATGTTCTATGAGCATTTGGGAAGAAAAAAATAATATTTTAAAGCACTTTATGCCAATAAATTTGAGAATTTACATAAGAACAACTAATGTCTACAAAAATACAGTCGACCAAAGCTGACGTAGGAAGACACAAAATTTGAATAGTTCCATATCTGTAAGTACCTACAAAAAAACCTGCTGTAGGCATGATACTTAATGATAAGTTAAAGAAAGTGTTTGCTTTGATTTCAAAAGTAAGTGGCTATTCCTGTTATTAGTACATCTATTCAACATTGTCCTGGAGATCCTAGCCAGTATAGAAAAGCCAAAAAATAAGGAAGAAAAAAATAAAAACTAAAAGGAAAAAATTTTCATTCACAAATGACACAATTATGTAGACACAAAATCTGAAACAATCTACAAATACACTATTAAAATTAAAAAAAGGATTTAGCAGAGTCTCTCTATATAAGATCAATAAGCAAAAAAAAAAAAAAAAAAAAAAAAGTGATTTCTATATACCAGCAGCAAACAACAAGAAAAACTGAATTTTAAAAGTGATTCTAGGCTGGGTACAGTGGCTCACACCTGTAATCTCAGCACTTTGGGAGGTCGAGGTAGGTGGATCACTTGAGGTCAGGAGTTCAAGACCAGCCTGGGCAATATGGTGAAACCTTGCCTCTACTAAACATACAAAAATTATCCAGGCGTGGTGGCAGGTGCCTGTAGTCCCAGCTACTCAGGAGGCTAACACAGGAGAATGGCTTGAACCTGGGAGGCAGAGGTTGCAGTGAGCCCAGATCACACCATTGCACTTCAGAGTGGGTGACAGAGCAAGACTCTCTCATTAAAAAAAAAAAAAAAAAAAGTGATTCTATTCACAGCAGTATCAAATATTATGAAATTCTTTGAAATAAATATAAGATGTGTACAGTCTCTACCAGTAAATTATAAATTATTGAGCTAAATTATAGAATTCCTGTGTAAATGAAGGTACATTCATGTTCATCTATTGGCAGTTGCAATATAGTAAATTGTCATTCCCAAATGATTTATGGATTCAGTTTAAGTCCCGCATGCCTGTGTATGTATGTATGTGTATATGAGAAAATAAACAAGCTGATTCCAGAATTTATAAGGAAATGAGAAGTGCCAAAATGGCCAATAATCTCTTGAACAAAATAGGTACCACCAGATATCAAGACTTGTTATCAGCTCCAATAATTAGCACCGTGCACTATAGGCAAGAAGAGACAAATAGACTGGAGAGCTCAGAAACAAGTGCACACACACAGGGACATTTGATTTGCCTCAATGATGGGACTACAGAAAAGTGGGGAAACTTTTTTTATAATAATTTATATATGATGGATTAGCTATGAAAACTATGGAAGTTGGACTAAACTTATAAACTACATATGAAAGGTGAAACAGTGGCTTTCAGAAGATATGAAAGGCAAAACAGAGGCTTTGTGGGGAGGGGAAGTTATTTTAAAAGGAGACCAAAAGCATTCATATAAAGGAGACAAAGTATATTACATTAAAAATTAGTGAATTCATCTAATCATGAGAAAACATTGGAGAAGTCCAAATTGAGGTTTATTCTCAAAATACCTCACCAGTACTATTAAAGTGTCAAAGTCATGAAAAATATGAACTGAGACAATTGCCACAGATTGAGGGAGACTAAGGAGAGTGACAGCTGAATGCAGCATGGTATTCTGGATTGGCTCCTGGAACAGAAAAAGAATAATAGTGGAAAACAGGTATAATCTAAATAAATTGTGTTGTTTATGTAGCAGTGTCATACCTACATTAGTATCTGAGTTTGATAAGTGTTAGCTATGTTTGATAAATGGTTATGGAATGGGTTAACATTAGAGGAAGCTGGATGGAGGATATATTGGGGCTCTCTGCACTCTTGTCTTCTGTAAATCTAAAATGAATTCAAAATTAAATTTTAAAAAATTAAAAAATATATTTATCACAAGATACCATTAAGAAAGTAAAAAAAAAAAAAAAAAAAGCCACAAGTAGGAGAAGAAATTTCCCATTCATATAATCAAAATGAGCTTATATCTAGAATATATAAAGAGCCTTTACAAATCAGTAAGGATGGCATAATGCAAAAGTTAGGAAATAACTTGAAGCATTTTACAAAAGAGAATAACCAAATAACCATAAACATTTGAAAAGATGCTCAGTCTCATTATGCTTCAGTGATCAAACAAATTTAACCTCAAGTAAAAATCTGCTACATTTTTTTTTTTTTTTTTTTTTTTGAGACGGAGTTTCGCTCATGTTACCCAGGCTGGAGTGCAATGGCACGATCTCAGCCCACCACAACCTCCGCCTCCTGGGTTCAGGCAATTCTCCTGCCTCAGCCTCCTGAGTAGCTGGGATTACAGGCACGCGCCACCATGCCCAGCTAATTTTTTGTATTTTTGGTACAGACGGGGTTTCACCATGTTGACCAGGATGGTCTCGATCTCTTGACCTCGTGATCCACCCGCCTCGGCCTCCCAAAGTGCTGGGATTATAGGCTTGAGCCACCACGCCCGGCCAAAATCTACTACAGTCTTACCAGAAAGGCTAAATATTAACAATTCTTATATGCTGCTATTAAAAGTGCAAATTGCTATGACCAGTTTAAAAAACTAATCAACGTTCTCTGACAAATTTGAATGTACATCCAATGACCCAGAAATTCCACTCACAGGCACATACAACAGAAATGTAGGCACGTGTCTATCAAAAGACACATATGAAAATATTAGTGGCGGCATCATTCAGTAAAGCAAAACCTGAGTCACCAGATAACAGTAGTCACCTATGGTACAATGGGTTTAAAAATATATATTGTGCTATATGCATGTAATTGAATGAATAGGAAAGACCACTACTCATAGCAACAAGAATTTGGCTTACATAATGTCACATGAAAAAGCATAAATACAAAAGAGTATAAACAATATGATTCTGTTTATGTACATTCCAAAAAAAAAAAATGCAAAGCGAAAGGTTAGGAAATGCATGTTTTGACAGTAAAATTATCAAGAAAAGCAAGTGATAACATAAAACACAAGTGCATTTTGGGGGAAAGGAGAGACTAGGGATGGGGAAGGCTGGCCTGAGGAGGTTTGTGTGGTGTGCCAGTGTTTTACTGGCCTGTGTCGTCTACACTTGTATGCCCTTTGAGAAAAATAATTAAATTGTGTGTGTTTTATGGCATAGAGTTTTCTGTATTACATCCCACAATAAAAGAGTTTTCTGAAAAAGGAAGTGGGCTGGGGAAAGAAAACAAACATTCTTTAGAAGAACTCAGCAGCTCTCTAAAAATGGAGAATTTTAGATTCACCTGTACTTATTTCTTTGTCTTAAATCTTGTTTTCCTCTTCCAGGGGAAGATCGATTCCTTCCTTTTGGGCTGCATCAGACATTTTTAATAAAATATGAGATTTTCTTTTAACAGCACTTTGTCTTAATTGGAGTAATTTTAACAAGCTTAAATTCTGTGCTGGAAGAGGTGTTCTTCAGTTAATGACAGTAGCAGCTGATTAAATGGATGTCACTTACACCCACACATGCCTACATTCACATACATACATTTTTTTTAAACACTCCTTTAAAGACGGTATATTGACTTGAAGGGATGTATTCAGTCATTAGATGCTTTTTCATCACATGCTACTTTAAGTGTTTTCCATTTAAAAGACAGATCTGAAACACTAGCCTTATCATTCTTGGGTTTGCAATTGGAGTATAAAATCTTGCTGGAGTTGCATCCATTAAAATAAAACAGTCTTGGAAATTAAGCACTAATTTCCCCTTCAAATGGCTATTTCAGTTTTTTTTTTTCTTTCTAATTACCACTGTAATGAAGTGGCCAGTATTATGGTAGGAAGTGATTTCAAAGGCAGCAGTCTCTTATTATGAATTATAGACTTTATTTTCCACCCTAATGAGAGTCGGCCTTCGTTATAGAAAATGCATGTGCACACTCCATCACTGCAGAGACTAAAATAGTTTTGGAAAAACAAATCATATTTTCAGCTCAGAGAGAGAGTAGGCTTTCAAGTATTTCACTAAAGATGAAGAGGAAAACCGTATTTTCACTACAGGATTATTTCTGACCACTCAAATCTGTTGCTCTCTGCAGCAGACTTTCAGCATATTAAAACACTGCTATATTAACATCTGATAAGGACAATTTGTATCAAGATAGATACAAGGAAAAGCACTCTAAAAGTATTCCTTTTTTTTTTTTTTTTTTTTTTCTTTAAATGGAATCTAGGCTGGAGTGCAGTGGCATGATCTCAGCTCACTGCAACCCCCACCTCCCGAGTTCAAGCAATTCTCCTGCCTCAGCCTCCTGAATAGCTGGGATTACAGGTGCACACCACCACACCCAGCTAATTTTTGTATTTTTAGTGGAGACGGATTTTTACCGTGTTGGTCAGCCTAGTTTCAAACTCCTGACCTCATGATCCACCCGTCTTGGCCTCCCAAAATGCTGGGATTACAGACATGAGCCACTGTGGCTGGCGGAAAAGTACTACTTTTTGTTAAGCCGTTAACCTGACCACGGGGACTTCCGTGGGTCCTGCAGTCCACTCTCCTTCTAACATGGGCAGTTGCCCTTTCTGTTTCCTGTCAACGTGAGCTTTGACCTAAATACCTTGCTTTCATTCATTGAAAAGGAAATTCTCTTTTAACTTTGATCATATCCCATGTGTACTTTCAGTTTTTCTATGTCCCTTTGAAATTATTTCCTGTCAAATTATTATAATGTGCCGCTGCTTCTTGTCTGTGAGTTGGGGCACAGTAACACCAACCAAGCTTTTAGCAGCTTTGTTAAGTGGACATTGTGATTATTTACCCCAAAATAAGTAGTGATAAGCATGGCCCCCATTCTTTGGTATCAGTACCGTCAAATTTAAGTGGGAAGGCCTCTAGAAATGAGTTGTTAACGTTATGCATCTGAAAAAAACCCATGTGGGGGTCTGCAATTTAAATCACGGGTTTTTCTGATGGCGCAATACAGAAGATGATTGCGCTGACCATTTCAATTGCCTAGATTGTATATCAGATTATTTTACCTTCTCATATGTAGGAAAATGATAACCTCTTACTCTGATGTCAACAGTAGCAATTTGGTCATAGACAAGAGAAATCAGTTTTCCTCATGGGCATTTCTGGATCTAAATTTGGACCCGCATGTGTTTCCCAAGGGTCTTTCTTCATCCTATAACTTTGGTTGATCAACAATGTATTCACTGTAAGTAAATGGGAACAGAAAATGCAAACGGTCTAGGAAAGAAAAAAAAAAAAAGAAAAGTACAACCAACTTTAAAAATTCAATCTGTAAACACTTTCTCACTATGCTAAACAACTCATGTTTCGTAAAGACATTCTTTCTTCATTTTAAACCAATAGAAGCCTGCTTAAAAAGATGACAGACTTTGGCTCAAAATACAATGATTACTGTCTGTGTTGAAAAACTATACAGACAAGCTTGCACCTCTAATCCCAGCATTTTGGGATGCCAAGGTTGCCAGATCACTTGAGGTCAGGAGTTTGAGTCCAGCCTGGCAAACATGGTGAAACCCCATCTCCACTAAAAGTACCAAAAAAAAAAAAATTAGCAGGGCATGGTGTTGTGCACCTGTAATACCAGCTACTTGGGAGGCTGAAGCAAGAGGATCACTTGAATCTGGGAGGTAGAGGTTGCAGTGGGCCAAGATTGCACCACTGCACTCCATCCTAGTGACAGAGGGAGGCTCTGTCTCCAAAAATAAAACGTTAGATCTATACAGATAGTAAAAAGATGAGGGTGGCCAGGAGCTGGGTGGGGTGGGGGAAGAAAGGAGAGGATGAATAGGCAAAGCACAGGTGACACTATTCTCTGTGATACTACACTAGCAGATGCATGACATTATACATGTGCCAAAACCTGTAGAAGTACAACCAAGAGTGAACCTGAAAGTAAACTATGGACTATAGCTAATAATATATTGATACTGCTACATTAGTTTTAGCAAGTGTACCACAGAAGTGAAAGATGTTAATATAACAGAGAAACTATGTATGGGTGGGAATGGGATGCACATATGGAACTATATTCAATTTTTCTGTAAATCTTAAACTCTACAAATAAAAACTCTTAATTATTTTATAAAAAGAAGGGGATGAAAACATCTACACAGCAGGTAAGGAATACCCAGTTCTCTTAGTGGAGAAATGGGTGCAAACCCTCAGCCCCAAAACTTGCCTCAAAATGGTGTGAGTTAGGCATACAATTGAAAATCTTGCACATATGAATAGATCTAAAACAATAATAACTTTTTTGAAGTTTTACAGTTCCTATATTCACCTGCATATCATAAAAATAAAGTAAAAAAATGATGAAGCCATTTCCTGTTCACTTAGGCAGTATTTTAATAAATGTTAGATGTTCTCCTTAAAAATTATTTGCTTGGTCATTGTGAAAAATTCAGGGAGTAAAAAGTGAAAATAAAAGAAAATCATATTAAATATTAAAAGATATACAAATCCATAATGAGAAGGACATTAAAGGCAAAGCTCTAACACACCAGCACTAAGAGGTTGGGCGGAGTGAGCAGTTTAGGCATATAATTGCAGATGATTAACAGCAAAGGGTATTTAGATAGCTGCAGGTAGTTTAGTGCAGCTCAACTCAGATTTCAATTAGAATTCAGCTGCAGGTGGAATGAGCGAGGGCTTGGAGTTTTCATTTGGCTCTTAGGGAGTTCAGAATTATTGTAGGACCTTCGGCTGGAAGTAACATGATTGAGCAGTATCCCTCAGAAATGAGACAGGGACAAAGCTGAGGGAGACTAGCGAGGACATGAGCTAGAATAATGCAGATTAGACCTGATGAGGGTTTTATTGAAGGGATATCCAAAAGAGAAGACTTTGAGGGGGATAATGCAGGCAGAACAATAAGACTGGTTGGATACTTGGATGTGAAGAGGGAAAGCACTTGAACATGACTCCCAGCTACCATTTATGTCATTAGGAATTTAAGGGAGGGTGGGCAGATGGGAAGGTCAGAAAGCAGAGTATAGGGAAGGCAGTGAAATTCAACAGGGGCATGTTGAGATTGAGTTCTCTGTGGGTCATTCAGGCAGAACTGTCCACTAAGAAGAAATGGAATCTGTGGTTCTGCAGGGCAGAATGGTCTGTACCAGAGATGAAGTCATCAGTCTACAGATTATGGAATTGAGTGAAAGCAATCACCCAGCGCCAGACAAGGTGTCAGAGCCCCAACATCAGAAGGTGGTCGACTGGCAGGTTGGTAAGAATAATTTACTACTGACAGTATATTACTGAAATAGGAAAGTTTTATTAGGTAGAAAGAAAGTTGTCAAAGAATGCAGCTGCAGCGGGGTACCTCAGCAAGAGAGGACGGAGTGCAACGCAATGGATTCTTCCTCAGGAGTATTTACAGACCTTAAAGCAGGAGCTGAAAGGTAATTGGAACTATATTAGCCTCATAGGTCATGATAAATGATTACATTTATAGACATTTTTGTGTCAGCCAGGTTTGCACAATGGGTTTCAGCATGCATGCATTCTGGAGATGTATAGAAACCCTAGTTACTTATACATTTGTGCAGTATAAGAAGCTTTGAACCAGATGCCGGCTTCAGATAATAGAGAAGTCTAATTGATACAGGAGATAGAAAGAAATTATTTAGGCAGGTAGTAAGTGCAAGGTTCTTTGAACTGACTGCACCAAGGAAGGACTACACCATAGTCAAGCCATGGTGACCCCTGTGACCCACACACACTCCTCCAGATGGCCTCCTGGAGCCAAAAAGTCAAAGGTAACAGAAAAACTGCAAAAGGAGAAGAATAGCTAGCTCATGCAGTGCCTGATTAACTGACCTTGTGACATTCCACCATTGTCCCTGCCTCAACTGATAAGTCAGCCTTGTGACCCTGGACCCTGTGGCCTGATTAACCAACCTTGTGACATTCTACCACTCTTCCTGCCTCAACTTATAGGTAAATCTTGTGACATTGGACCCCATGACACCCACCTTCCCTGGCTTGCAAAAAAAAAACTGCGCTAAACTGTAACTTTCCATTACCTACCCCCAACCTATAAAACTAGCTCCTATCCCACCACCCCTCTACTATCTTTTCAGATTCAGCCCACTCACACCCAAATTAATAAACAGCCTTGTTGTTCACACAAAGCCTGTTTAGGTGGTCTCTTCATCCAGAGGATGCTTAACATTAAGGATAACAGAGTCCTTGGTGGAATTTCCCTTTTAACAAAAAGGGAAATCATTTCTTTTCTAACAAACAGCAGCCTGAAAAATTGAGCTGCAGACAGAGATAAGCAAGCTGGAGCTTGCACTGGTGAATGCCAGCAGCTGTGCCAGTAGAAAATAGCTACCTGGGGCCAGGCGTGTTCAACATGGAGGCTCCATCT